TCACCTCAGCCTCCCAAAGGCGCGGGATTACAGGCTGAGCCACTGAGCCCGGCTTTCCTTGACTCTTTAAATGCATGCCGCAGACACACATAGAGTGGGGAAGCATTTGCGTGATTGTCAAAGAATCAAGAGAAGGAGACTGAAATTCCAGATTTTTAAAATGCTTCCTGACCCTAGAAAGGAGCACACAGTGTGTGGGCTTCACCTCCCCTGCCATCTACTGGCCATGTGGAGGTATTGCCCTGTTGATCAGGTTCCAGTGCCGACTTTTATGTCCTTTTTGTCGGTTCTGTCCCAGAACCAACTTCACCAAGAATTCCTTCCTGGTACCCCACCTAAATCCCTTCCGGCAACCTCTTTTCATTTTCTTTACTGATAGAACATCTCAGGAGTAGCTAGTCTTTTTATACCTTCCTGTGTTGTCTAAAACTTAAACCCTCACAAAACGGACAACCTATTTATGACTCGGCCACAAAGCAGCTGAGGAGGACTAGCTGGCTCTGGCATTCCAGCTCCATCTTACTTTCCAGTCCTTTAATCTTCGTGGCTCTGCACTGGCTCCTCTCCAAGTTTCCACTGTCTCTCTGGAGCCTACAGGTGACCACAAGACCTTGATGGGTATCTTTGATACTGGACGCTCCCGCTGCCTAAGGAATAGGTCCCATGGGGTTAAGTGGCACCAAAAGCCAGGAGGCACATCAAAACTTTAAGCCTGCCTTTCAGAAGCAGCCAAAGAGCTTGCAAACTGGAAAGGAACACCCTTAGGAGCCCGTCCTGGTGAGGCCAGGAGAGGAGAGAGTTCCTTAAGTTAAGAAACACCAGAATCTACCTTATGTTGTCAGTATTGTCATTGCTTGGTCTTGCAGTACTTGAACATTTTCAAAGAAAGCACTAGGAGAGGTCAAAATAAATTTGTACCAAGGTATTCTTCTAGGAAAGTTAAGGATAGCCCACAACACTCCTTAGAAAAAGTCCCAAAAGGTAAAGGATCTTGAGGAGACCTGTTGAGGGAAGGCTGTGAGCCACCATGCACCCTTGTCCACCAAGGCCAAAGACGAAACAAGCTGAAACGACAGCTGGAGAACGACACCCTCTCAGCAAAGGGACAGAGTTCCCCCACCCCAATAGATGGCCGAGGACGGGGTGGCATTCCCATCTCTAAGAACTAGTAAGAGCACCACTGAGATAAGGATATGCATTTATGTCTGACACAGGGGGGGTGGACTAATTGACCCATGGAAAGGACTCCAGGACCCAAGGCCCATAAGTCCCTGGGGTGAGGCAGCCTCCAGGCACGCTGGTCAGCAGCCATCCACCCCCCACTTCCCCTCACTGTATCCACTAACAATTTTCCTTGGAAAAGGGATTAGGACATACACCCCAGAATGCCTCCAGGCTTTCAGGGGCCCCCGCCCCCCGCCTTCTACAGCCATGGTCAACCACGTTCTGAGGCTGGAATCCTCTGGTAGAGGGCAGAGGTGAGTGGGTATCTCCTGTCCTCAGTGAGATGGACCCTCTGTATGGTGGTCAACCTCCCTATCCTCACTCCCCCTCCTCCAAGACCCGAGGCTCAGGGTGGTGCTTGTGTGACTCGAGAACAGCGCCCTAGCCTTTCAATTCACACGGAGTCCCCAAGCCAGCCGGGCTCCTCCTCCCTCCCCCACAATCGAATTTGCTCCACAACCAAGAAAAGTTGGTTGACCCCAGAAGATGACTCTTCTAACTAATCCCTAGAATACTACATTCTGCCTACCAAGCCCATCACCCTGTTGATTTGTCGTGGCAGGGTTTGATAGCGCACAGTCAGGGAGCCAGGGACATCAAGACAAGGCTGGGAAGGAGGGGGTGAAAGCCCAAAGTGGGCCGGGCTCGGTGGCTCAGCCTGTAATCCTAGCACTTTGGGAGGCCAAGGTGAGTGGATTGCCTGAGCCTGCGGGTTCAAAAACCGCCTGGGCAACTTGACAAGACCTCATCTCTACAATAAATCAAAAATTAGCCGGGCA